CAACAAAGCCTCGGGATGGCTCACAAAGAATACATAAAAACATACATAATAATAATATAACAAAAAAATTTAAAAACCCCCGGTGCATTCTCGGCTAAAAATTTTAAAATCCTAATTAATGCAATAATTTAACAATTAAGTTTTAAATAAAAAGGTCTTAGCCTGGCGCCAAAAAACATGTGGTTGAAGCTGAGGCTGCAAACTTAGAACACCCTCCCCTGCCCTCTCAGCTGGTATGGAAAAAAATGTGTTGCCTGCACTTGCAAGGTGACAGGTGTGATCTCAAAGACAGGTTTTGGGGGCTGGGGAGAGGAGAAGACAAGTTTTGCCAGTATGTACAGTATCCTGGTAGCATCATAGCTAATACCCTTGAAGACAGAAATAAGATCCAGGGTGATCTTGATAGGTTGGAGCTCTGGGCTAAAAACAACAGAATTAAATTCAGTAGGGACAAATGCCAAGTCCTGCACCTAGAAAAAAGAAACTAAATGCATTGTTACAAGATGGGGAATACTTGGCTCACCAATACTGCAAGTGAAAAAGATCTTGGAATTGTTGCAGATTACATTATTGACTCATTAAGCTTGCAAAGTGGCTGCAAAAAGGGCAAATGCTATTTTAGGCAGCATTAACAGAAGCATCACTTCCAAAGTACTAGTTATCTTTTTACTCAGCACTGGGGTTAGGCCTTATCTGGAGTACTGTGTCCAGTTCTGGGCACCACAGTTTAAGAAAGATGCAGGCAAGCTGGAAAGGGTTCAGAGGAGGGCCACAAGGACGATCCAGGGACAGGAAGCAAAGCCCTGTGAGGAGAGATTGAAGGAACTTGGCATGTTTAGCCTTGAGATGAGAAGACTGAGAAGAAATATGGAAGTACTTCAAAGTACTTGAAAGGCTGTCCCAAAGAGGAAGAACAGGTTTTCTTCTCAATCAGCCCAGTATGCAAGACACAGAATAACAGGTTCAAGTTACAGAAAGCCAAATTCCAGCTAGATATCAGGAAAAATTTCCCAACTGTTAGAACAGTACAACAATGGACCCAATTACCTACAGAGTTTGTGACATCTCCCACTCTATCTATCTATCTATCTATCTATTTATTAAAACATTTTTATGCCGCCCCATTCGCCGAAGCCTCGGGGCGGCTTACAACAATAAATTAAAAGAATTATAATCTTAAATTAAAAAATAAAAACATTAGAATAAAATACAAAAATACAATATAAAATAAGCCGCCCTGGCCAGATAAAATTCAATAATATTAACATTTAAAATGCCGCTTAAATAAAAAGGTCTTTGCCTGGTGCCGAAAAACAAATAATGACGGCACCAGGCGGACCTCTCTGGGGAGCGCATTCCATAACTTAGGCGCCACCGCAGAGAAAGCCCTCCTCCGAGTACCCACCCTCCTAATTTCTTTCACGGAGGGTTCCCGGAGAAGGGCCTCTCCCGCCGATCTCAGGGGGCGGCTGGGCATATATGGATGTAAGCACTCCTTCAGGTAACCAGGACCCAAGCCGTTTAGGGCTTTGTAGGTCATCACCAACACCTTGAATTGGGCCCGGGCTTCAATGGGAAGCCAGTGAAGCTGATGGAGAACTGGAGTCATGTGAACATAACGTCCAGTCCCCGTCAGCAGCCTGGCAGCTCTATTCTGAACCAATTGAAGTATCCGGACGGTCTTCAAGGGTAGCCCCACGTAGAGCGCGTTACAGAAGTCAAGACGGGAAGTCACTAGAGATGTTCAGGATGCAACTAGACAGCCATCTAAGGAGATGGTTTAATTTGGTGTCCGAACAGGGGATGTGGATTATTCCCAGGTAAATGGGTATAGGATTGCATGATTAGAATATAAATTCTGAAATACAGATAACTAGGGCTACCAGATGCACACTTATATTTAGTAGTCGTGTAAGAAGAAAATTTAAGAGGTGTACTTTTTCTTCAATCAAGTATGGCAAACCTGTAAGAATTTTCAGAACTTTCTTGTTACTCATCTGTTGCAAAAAAAAAAAAACCAGCTTTGTGGCATCTTTAATATGTTTTTGTTATTACATTATATCTTGCCTTTGTCATCCAAGAACTCAAAGGTAAGCATTTATTCTAGCAGATACTTTTGTGGATTAGAGTCCACTTCATAAAATATGAAGTTATCCCAACCTGCTGCAATTATGTCTTTTATTCAACAATTAAAGTAAGAGCTCACTCTTCCTTAACATCTGGTTATGCCCAGCTAGATAAATGCTCGTTTTTTTCTTAGCTGCTACTAAACAGAATTTTACATTTGGTTGGATAATTAGAGACAAGAAAGCTCTCTCTGTGAAATTTAAGTTGTTAAGTGAGAATGGCCTCTAGATAGCTGCTTTTTCTTTCAGAAGCTGCATCCAAGCATGAGTCATCTTTCACATTTTTTTCATTACTTTTCATTTACTTTTGAAATGTAAGCCACACAATTTGTTAGTGTTATAGGTTTCATTGTGAAGAAATCCAATGTATCCACACCAATCAGCAGATCATGACTGAAGGCACTCTGACTTCTATACTTGTCCCAACCTCTCTCCTCTCCCACCTCTTCAGTAGTCTCACCCCTAAATATACTAAGGTTTTTGTGCATCTGCACCTTTAAGAAAAATTACAGAGGAATTGCAGAATTTCAAAACACCAAATGTTGCCAATTTCTTCAGCCCCTGTCCGACCTATAGAGAGGGATATCACTGGAACATTTTAAACTGCTCTTTCACTTGAGGATAGCACAACTATTTCTTGAAAAATGGTTCCAACATAGAGAAATTCCTGTGTCTGCTCTAACACCATATTCTCATTTTCAGAAAGAAAGCATTACATTAACCATTATCTATGAGAAGCCAAATGCAAGACTGCATTTCACTAAATGCCAAAAGTCACATAATGTCCAGCAGCAATGTAAAAGGATTTTTAAAGAAAGTTTTGCAAGTGGATTACACACTTCCATGAATACATAGAAAAACATTCCCTGTACTCTGAACTGGAAAAATCAAGTTAAGTGAAGGTAAGACATACAGCAAGTTTTAAAATGGCTCACTTCAAGTTTTTGGAAGTTTTTTAAAGAAAAAAAATGTTCATGCAGGTGTACAAAAGACATGAGTGCCTATTCACAACAGCCAGTGTAAACAGGAATAAACAGAAGAACAGCAGAAAAGAGAAGTGAAGGGCAAGAAAGTCATTACCAATGTCTAACCCATCCTCCAAGCCTACAGAAGTAAACCATTAGGGATCATCCACACCTTTGGAGCACTGTACTTCTGATCCAGATCTTCCCAATTAAATGGATTTTCCTGTTTCAAACAAGAAACCCTGCAGACTGATAGCTAAAGCTTAACCATATTATTTGGATACCCCATAAATTTATAATTATGAACACTGGCTGCTACTATAAATATTGTTTTATTTAAACAAAGTTTTAACAATTTTAAAGTCATCTATAGTTTTTTAATTTGCAGCCACAGTGAATCTGGATTTTATGTGCACTATTTGTATTGTGTTTATTGTATGTAAGCCATCCCAAGGCTCAGGCAAATGGGGCAGCATACAAAAATTCTAAATAAATAAATTATACATTAAAAGGTTCATCTGAAAGCTCACTTACATCCAGCAGAGCTGTGAACCTTGAAAGCATAGCCCCATCCTCAGAAATTCAACGGCAATTACTTGCACGTAAGATTTGTAGCCTAAAGATGTTGCAACAATCCTTTGCACTCAGATGGATGCGGCTTGTCTGGATGTTTGTTTAAATATTTTGGGTCCTTGCCCAGACATTTAACCTTGCCAGCTAAGGTCCTCTGGGGATAACCTTCTGAAGTCTGCTTGTGTAAGATTAATGTCAACTAGCTAGAGGATTTTTTCAATGGTTGCCCCTAAAATGTGGAAAGGTCTGCCAGATGATATTTACTTATTTAGAGAACTTCTATGCACCTGATTTCCTAAATTTCCACTTTAAGAATGAGTTAAAGATGTATCTCTTCCAATAGGCCTTCCCAGATTAGTTCTCATATTAATTTAACATATTTGTCTTAGTCAATTATAATCATTGTTAATCTTAATTTCTTGTAAACTGCCCACAGCCTATGCAAATGGAGTGGTATATGAATATTAAAATAGTAATAGGTTTTCTATGAATTCTACCCACTCCAAAGATCTTCATACTAGCAAAAAATAAAATGTTAAAATATAAAACTACAAAGAATGAAACTTCATTTTAAGATATCCCTAGTCACTAACAGCCAATGGATAAAAAACATTTTAGACCCAAAATTATCAGACTGAGTCTTTTCCACAGTAGAGAAAATTCTACAGCTGAATATTTGATGAAAGTGATGCTGAGGACCCCAATATCCATTCCATCCATGCTATACTGGAAAGACAGACAAGATTAGAATAAGTGCACTGGAGGAAACAAAAGCAAAGCACTAGGATTTTGAGGAAATGACTCGGTCCTGGAAAAACCTTTCGTTTCCATACAATACCACATACACATATGAAGAAACAATTAGGACAGTTCACCATCCGTATTTGCAGAACAGCTTCTTACCCAGGAGTCAACAGGTTTCTGAGAAAGCGCAGATCCGCATACTTTCCTTTAAAAGAAAAACAAATCTATAGATGCTTAATCTTCAGCATAGCCTCTCCTGCAGTGACTTGCTTGAGAACCGATTAACAAGAGTAGAGCCAACCATGCTGGAATTTCAATTACCATCCCTAGAGAAAATTTAGTATTATGATTATCGTAACCAATTCTAACCTGTTCCCTCCACGAAAATGATAGAAAGGTGATGAGCAACACCTGGCCCTGAAAAGACAGTAGGCAGATTAAGATCCTTAGACAAATGAGAGCGAGCGCTGTACACATGCGCACTCTGGGCCTCCTTATCCTCTGCGCTAAAGCAAGCCTCGCTGAGGGCAAGCCTCATTTTCAGAGGGACGGAAGTGAGGAGGTATCTAGGCCCTCGGCGCTTTCCGTCGTTCGGGCTGTACCAACTCTCTCTGTAGTTGTGTCCAGTGAGAGAGAGAGGAGACCCAAGATGGGGGTATGAGCTTTCGGGCGTCACTCTTCATTCGGAGCTTGACATCTGGTTGGGGAAATCATGGGGCGAGAAGTGGAGGCCAGTAATCGCCCCTGAGCTTCAGAACGCAGGGAGGACTTGCCAAGAGGCGCAGGTAAAATGGTCGCGTCCTCCTCCCTTCCTGGCCGCGCCGGGCTCCTGGGAAGCCAGGGGGCGGGGCTCAACGGGCAGCCGTGGCGGCTGGGTAATGGCAGCCCTGTGAAGAGGACAGCAGTGGGGCAGCCGCCGCAGCCTGTGCGAGAGACTCGCTGTGGGGAGGGGGCGGGGAGACGACGCGGACCCGGGCCTCTCCTGTTGCCAGGTAACCTCCGTGGACAGAAAGGGGCCCTCGTTGCCCCTCCGCTTTTCCTTTTCCCCTCCCCGCTCCTCCTCACTCTCTGGTCCGGCGGGAGGGGGGACCAGAAATTCCTGTTTTCCCCCTTTTCGCTTCCCTTCCCTTCGGCTTTCTTCTTCACCATGTCTAGAAAAAGGAATAGTGGTGCCGCTGCCGGCGTGTCATGATGTGGGCCTCCCCGAGGGCCAGCCTTTGCTGAGCTCCTCGTGCGGTTCTTTCCTTTTTGTGTATGCGTGCGTATATGCAGAGATAGCGCTGCTGTGTGTTCAGAATAGGATGGGTGGGATGCCGACTAAGTTAGTCACGCCGTCGACTTAATCAGCAGCATAAGAAATTAGGCCGTTATACTGAGTCAGGCCATTGGTCTACCTGGGCGTTGTTGGCACTGACTGGCAGCAGTGGCTCTCCAGGACTTCCTGTAAGATGCCAGGGGTTAGGTAACTTAGAACCTTTTCCATGTAAAGTAGGTGCTTTCTCTCTAAGTTGTAGCCCCTCCTATGGAATCCGTGGGACTTAAAGCAGAGGTAGCTAAATACGTGTGTGTAAGAGAGAGAGAGAGAATGAAAACATTTGACAGTGTTGCATTCAAACTGGCTCTGAACCTTGCAAGTTCCAAAATGGGAAGAAAAGGTTCAGAGGTTCAAGGATGCAAGTCAAGCTAAGAATGAGAAGTGTGTGTAATGAACCCCACAGTATACAGGAAAGTTAATGTTCAGTGTTTCTCTGTACTCTGCTGTTGTATTTCAGTAAAGATACTGTGATTCTATTTTTAGAATCCTGAGAATGAGAAATATAATTGGTAACAAAACCTTTGAAAGAGCATACATGACTTTGTTATCTCAGTAAGTCAAGGTGATCTCATGCCAGCTTTTGTTGTCAATGAAATTGGATTCTTTGGATTCTAAATGCATTAAGAAAAATGTCTAATGCCTTGCCATTAGAATTAAGTTTTCCCATTAGAATTTCTTAACTTGCCTGCAACGAACTGAAAATTATGTTAAAATAAGCTATGAAATATAGAGCCTCTTTTCCACATTGAATGCTTTCTTGTCACTGACTGTAATGTTTACCAGCTATTTGTATACCACCACAAAGGTGAGCATACTGTAACTAAGGGCTATATTCTTGTTGCTTCAAAAAAAAAAATTAGCTAACCTCCCTTGATTACTTTTCCAAAGCCTCCAAATCTGTGGAATCATTTGCAAATGTGAACTAAAGCTATCTTTTTTCTTGTATCATATCATAGATATAGTGGTATCACTTCTACTTACTCTGGGGCAGTCATCCCCAACCTTGAGCCTTCCAAACATGTTTGAACTGCAACACCCAGAATTTCCGGTCAATGGCCCTGCTGGATGGGAAGAGTAACTTCTGCAACTTCCAGAAGTTGTAGTCCAAATGCCTCTGAAGGCCACTAGGTTGGAGAAGACTGCTCTATAATCACAAAGTAAAACATACTGTAAACTATGAACACTCTGGCTGCTGCATGCTGTAAAGTGGAAATATAACCACAGATCCTTGTTCCCAATTGCAAGTGAGCAATTGTGATTAAAAAACTTGATCAGATTGGCACAGATATTTTAATTTAAATGGCCACAATCTGTATTCCTGACAGGAAAAACAAACCGCTCCTGGAAGACCACAAGCAAGATATAAATTTAGGCTATACAGGTAGAGGCTTTAACGTCCATTGTAATGCTAAGTTTTAAATCATAAATACTTTTTTAGAATCTGCAGCAACTATATGTCCCGACAATGCTCTGTTTTGGCTGTCAGTTCCCCGTTTGAAATCAGTTTTTCCCACTGCTGGAGGAAAAAGCTGGAACATTTAAACATAATCCTATGTATATTTCTTTTTTGCCAGTCACATATATTTTTATAGATGTCCCTCATTTCTAATTTTGCTCTATTAAGCAAGGCAGTTCTTGTAAGTGAAAGGGATCTGGGTAAAAGAATTAAGGATCGGTTCATGCACGGTTGCTTAAAAGTAAAATTTTATAGTCAATTTATTCAGAAGTATTCGCTTGCTGATCTTACCGATCTGTAGTCACTTGTCATACTCAGAACAGACCCATTATGTATGAGAATGAAATAAGAAATTCTTGATTGTTCATACACATCAAGCACACTTGAGGCTATCCAAGTCACCTTGAGCTTTTATGAAAAGTAGGATATAAATGTTTGAATTGAGCAATGCATAAAAAACTAAAGTTCCTGTTTAACCAGAGTTTGAAAACTAACATTATGATAGAAGTAGGGAGTGTACTCCAAGGATGAAGGGAGCAAATACACACTTGTCTGGCTGCCTCCAACATAATGCCTGTTACAGTGGAACACTGTGCTACACTGCACTGGCCCCTCACATCCAATAATGTGGGTGCCTGCCATGGTTACTTAAGAGTATTGCTGTACAACAGCATTGCAACCTATGTAAGAGCAATTTTTATGTTGTTTGTTCCGTACTTGAATGCAGTTTCGTCAGCATCAGTGTTGACATCTGTTAAACACCTTAAAATTCAAAGCCATTCAATGAATTACCAGACAAATAGAAACAATTCAATTACTTTTTCTGGACTTAATGCAATATTGTATTCTTCCTTGAGTTACTTCAGTAAGTCTGACCAACTTGAAATTTACCTGAATTTTTCCATATAGTGTTCTCTCTGATTCAGGATGCTTGTTTGGGTGGTCTCTAATTCATTTTCACATTCAGCATTTGCGATATGACAGCAATGGATTTGAAGGCAAATCACCAACTGGGGAATATTAGACTTTGCTAGGGGAGTGCTAAAGAGTGGTCTTTCTATAGCAGAAACTACAAAGAGAACAAGCAGAAATCACCCTCTAACTATGCTGGTTGCTCAGAGGGCATAGTTTTACAAGTTAAGATTAAGCAAAGGTCTTCAAAGAAACAGAAGTGAACAATATGATTTCATTTTACAGCCAAGGTTGCTTTAGTCTGAAATTAATGTTTGAACTTTTTCTTTTTCAGATTGATACTAACGCCCCACCATGTCCTTGAAACCACGAGTAGTTGATTTTGATGAAACATGGAACAAGCTTCTTACAACCATTAAAGCTGTTGTTATGTTGGATTATGTTGAAAGAGCAACATGGAACGACCGCTTCTCGTATCCTTTCAGTAGAAGGTGGATGCTCAGTGCTCGAATGCTTATACATCTTGTAGAAATTGATTAGGCATAATGTTTCCCAAATATGTATCCCATATAAGGTCATCTGGAATAATGTCTTCAGTGATCCCCATTCTTAACCATTTCTGCAAAAGTGGCTTGCTGTTTCATATAAACTGTATTATCCAGAAATGTATGCAAAGGATGGAGCAAGGTTTAACCTGATCTCTTGAACAGGTATAAACTATGAAGGAATTATAAAGTATATTGTTTTGTACTGAGTTCAATACATGGGTTCATGGATGCAAGAAGATATAGGTTAGTCCTGAGTGTAAGCAAGCTAAAGTTTCTAGCAAATAAGCCAGCAATCCAAGTGCAATATTCAGTCTTTTCTGGACCATTGTATGGCTTTGCCAGGGAACATTCAATAAGGTTACATTTCTAATTTTTCAGATGCTGAGTTTTGACTATGAAATGATGGAGGAGGCAATGTAAGCTGCCTTGAGCCCTTTGTAGGAAAAAGGCAGGATATAAATTAAAAAAATATATAGAAAAAATATATATACTGGTTTACTCTGGAAGAAAGGTTAATGATTTGGCTTTCATGTTTTCAGTATTTTTGGAGATACTGGCAATCATTTCCTGAGCAGTAGTTCCAACAAAACCCTGTTTGCTTTGCAATATGAACTATGTAACCCATCCGTATATGCAAATGGATGGCTTTAACTGCTACAAGATCATTAGGTCCCAGACAAGGAGATTCATGCTCCTCAAAGAAGCAACAAAATGCCACTGCCAGATGTTAATCAGCTAGATGGAATCTGTCAGGAGCTGTTCATTTAATGTAGATTGGATGTTCTCATCAGAACATTCTCCATTAATGGAGAAAGTCAATTCTTTGTTGGTCCCATAATGGCTGAGAGAAACAAGCTTTCATTCTCAAACCCAAAATGCACCCTACTCTGTAATGCATATTCTGGGCCTGGCACACTGCAATCTTGCCAGTAGGAGTATTGCTTGTATTTTACGGACTGTCCTGTCTTGACAACTGCTGTTCCTTTGTTCAGACAGTGCCAGAATGTTTTGATCTTTGCAACAGATCTGACTTCATTTTCTAGTTACTACACTTGGATCTGGAGACTGAAAGCAGTGTAAATATGCTTAGGACACTGTGCCCCAGGATAGTTACAAGTCTTCTTGAAAGTATCATGTGATCTTCTATTGCTCTTTTTAAGCGTTGACTTGCTTTCAATTACCTTGTGACCTTCAAAGCCCTGGCTGAACTCTGGCAGAAATCAGATATTACTGGCCCCCTCACAGCACTGTGTGATATAACTTAAGCTTGTTGCTAGAAATAATTGCATCTTTTATGATCTCATTCTGTAAAGTTAGTGAGGGTATGAAGTGTTTCCAAGCTTTTATTTATTTGTTCAAGGTGATAGGAAAGGACGCCTGGTACAGGTACTTTTTAACACATTTCTGTTAGCCTGCTTTCTCTTTATTTTTTTACATTTATAAATTTTTCTTTTTCCCCCTGCCTCCTTTGAGCAGTTGTTTCTTCCTTGTGTTTGCTGGATCACTTTTCTTGTCCTGTAATCTCCTTTGTTACACAACTGCCATAATCCCACCATTTAAGAGAACCCTGTTTGTTGCTTTTTTGAATCTGAAACCCAGTAATTCATAAACTGCAAACCCAATGAAGGTTCTGCTCTAAACACAGGAACAAGAACATCTGTGGAGGAGTTTGCTTTGTGTGTTTCACCAAAAGGATATTCAGCCTGGCTATGAGCCTACAGAATGTTATCTAAGGCCTAGAAGAAATTAAAACAGATCCAGAGTTACCTAGTAATAGGAAACAGAATTTGGGTAACAAGGTCAGATTGTGCAGCCTTAGAAGGCAGAATATTCCAACAGGATTCAAAATTCAACTGAACTGTCTCTCCTATCAGGTTTGAGTACCTGTCAAAAGCCTCACCTCAAGTATAGTTGCAGGGAATTTTAAGAAGCAGAACTTTGACTTGTAGATAGACACTCAGTGCCCAAAGCACTAAGCTGCAATTTAAAGTCTTGATGACTGGTGGCTTGTCCTTATCCTCTTCCCCTTCTCCAATATGAGCTGGAGTGCCAGCTCATATTGTATATGCAACAGGTTCTGGTGCCTGGAGCTTTACTGGGCTTTATTTGAACTTGGTGGAGCTATCTGTATTGATTGCCAGATTCCTGTTCACAGTAGATGGTAATTTGTTGGTCACCTTGGCATTTTCCAAATAATTTGACTAAAACATTTTTCTTGTTACTCAAAGTAAAGTTTTTGTGAAAATAGGAATATATAAATGAAATCCAAGGATCTGAATGGTGTCTCATAAATGCAACCTCTTGTACAGTGTGGAAGAGACTGGCTTTAGGTATGCCTTTTGTAGGCAGAACTACATTTGTAAAGAAATGTCCTTTCTCTTGAACTTCTTTATCCTTATTATTGTTTTGCATTCTTTCATGGCTACACAATTGCTGTAGCGGAGTTCAAAGTCTACCAGCATATCCAAATAATTATGTTAATTTCTCACAGTTTTTGTTAGCTATGAAACAGACGATTCTGGAAAACTTTTGTTTCAGTCCTTTATTTTTGCGTGGCTGTAGGGTGTGTGGGCAGATTGACAGAATGTATTGAATTAGTGGTTGTAATTGCAGATGCTATTCACTTTTTTCCTGCAGCAGAACTTTCTCACATCATCTAGGAAAGGTATGAAAGGAAGCAGGATTTATTCTACATATATGGCATTTTGCTACTGTGGATTGTTTAGACTATAACTTTTTCCTCTGGAGAAGACTGCTTCACTTTGCCAGCTATCTTTTTCTCAAGTGATAAGCATGCAAAGGAAAAGGACATAATGAGGAATATCCTCTCTGGAAACTCAGTGTTTACAAATCTAATACTGGGCAGGGCACTACTGCTTGATTGTCTTGGATACAATAGTTGCCTGAAGGGCCTTTCTGACCTTAGCATCTGCTTCAGGAGAGGGGGGGTGTAGCGCCAAATGTCACACAGCTGCAGTTCATGTCAACCCTAACCATTGGTGGGGGATGACAGAAGTTGTGTGCTAATATTTAAATGGTCAACCTGCCCATCCCTTTGCTACTTGCATAATGAAATGTTGGATTAGCTGCAGAATTCTCTGCATGTTTATTCAGAGTTAAGTCCTATTGCATTTATTGGGGCTCGCTTGGCATAAATGTGCATCTAGGCATGCAGCCTTAGTAATAGAAAAATGTATAGCTTTGTTCCAATAGTAAATAAAGATGTCACTTTCCAATTGCAAGTCCACTATACAGGAAATAAAGAATAATGGGCCAGTTGAAAGGACTATGTATGACATTCCATGAACACACTGGTGCTTTTCAGGCCCCCATTTCTTCTTCATAGTTTCTTGTGGTACGTTTTCTGTAGGTTGAGGAAGGCCCTCCAAAGCTGCACAAGTAGTGCCAGCAGATGAAGCACAGTTAATGTGTGCCTAGGAAATGCAACCAATATTATTTTTTGAAAATTTCATTAGATTTTGAGTTAAGAACACTTTGAAATGCATTTAAGCCTTGACTTCAGAACCAGAGACATTTATGCTTTGTGTGTTGCCTATCCCGAACCTCTGGGGGAGAGACTTTATATGGAAACAAAAAATTTTTTGGAAAATCATGTACGCCATTTGCACAAGGTAACCATTGAGAGTACAAGAAGTGTATAAAAGGGGCATTTTTGTATCACTTTGGATTTTGCAATAATGGTTTAAACTGTTCTGCTGCTTTAATTCAAAATGGAAATCTCTGTCTGTGGGCCAGATTCAACCAGCTTGGCCTTCCCATTTTTTTCCGGAAAAGCTTCCCATGAAACTACTCTTCGAAGTTAAAAGGGAGCAGGGAAGCTGCTCCCAGTACCCTTGAGTGTTCCTCAGTTTGGGAAGAAGAGGCATGGAGTAGGCCAGGCTTGGAGAAGCAGTTGGTTGCTTCGCTTTCCCAGTGCCTCTTCTAGTGACCTCCCTACTCATCCTGCTGCAGTGGAATAGAAATATGCCCTGTCCTTAGATGATTGGCATGTATCAGGTGGGCCGCCAAGGAAGGGAGTGTGAATGGGGTTAGCGTCTTTGTGAATGGGATAACCCCTGCCTTAGCCCTCCTTTGCTGCAGCTGCATTGAGGTGTGAGCATGCCCACTGCTAGCATGCAGACCCTGGGAGATCTGCCCCTTGGGCTGGAAACGCTTCCAAATAAGTATAATGTATTTCAAAATATATTTTGGAGTTCATAAAACAAAATTTATTATGCTATGAGTTCTTCAGTATTTCTAATATACAATTATTAATGCATGAATCGTGGAATTAACCATTTTTTCGTGTGTTTTCTTTCTTATAGAGAGTCTTGGACTCTGAAGAACAAGTACTGGTAATGTATCATAGATATTGGGATGAATACAGTCAAGGGGCAGACTATATGAACTGTTTATACAGGTAAATTGGATAAAATTTCATAAAATTATAAGAAATCCAGCAAAAAAAATTTAAATTAGCCTGAAGCTATTGGAAGATTAGAACAAGTTAGAATTTGGTTTTCAAATTTATTTTGGATGAGATTGAACTGTGACAAGCTTGTAACTGCTCTCATTATTTAATTTGTGAGTTGACTTAATTAACTGTGTGGTTGGATCCAGACTTGGTTGTATTTGGAGTACACCCATTGAAATAAATGGGGCTCAAGTTATTTCATAAGATACCATGAGAGTTTTAGAAATGGAAGGGTGGTATATATGCATTGGGTTGATTTCAGCTGGCCTGCTCTAAGTATGACTAATTCTGGATTCAACCATCTACGTGTAGACTGCTCCTGCATTTACAAAATCATATAAAAAGATTACAAAGAGCAAGATCCAGTATACAGAATATATATTTTAGTGAATATGTACTTGAAAATGTGATCTGGTATAAACATCCTAGGATTCTGGTTTTTTAGTAATGCCTGTTTAACAGATTAATGATGGCTGTTAAACAGAAATTAATTAATTAAATTTAAGCTGCTAAATGGGATGAAATGTTAGGATGGAAGAACAACAACAGGCTTCGGTTGCTATAAAAGCAAAGATTACAGTCCTGAGTTCTTGTAAGGGTCAACCGCAGCTAGATATGTTGTGTGAAACAGTAATGCAGTTGCCTGATAAGAGTGACCCCAGCTGCTTTGCCACACAGAGCTTTCTTGCTGAATCAGGGTCAACACATAAGCGTCTGGCTGTGCAGAGGCCTTGCTTGATTGTCTGCCTCAAAATGGGTGGGGGCTGTGCACACTGGGCCTCTGTGCAGTCAGTCACTCATGTAGCTCACACTAGAACCTGACCTGCGTGGTGGAAGGCCATGTGGCTACTTAGAGAATGAGATGGAAGACAGAGTGAGTGGCAGGGGCATTCATTGCCCATCATCAGTCATCTTTCCTCCTCCTCCTCCTCCTCCTGGCCTGCACCTCTGCTTTTTTGCCTTTCCCCTCCCCTGGCCTGCCCACATCTAACCTTCAGAACCTGTCTCTTGGCACAGCATAAGAAGCTATGGAGACAGAAGGTGGATGAGGAGCAGCAGGCACTTCAACTACCCACGCTCACCCTCTTCATTCTTAACAGAGGATGCTGAGGAGGCTAAGCAGCGGCAGTTCTCTTGGGGGTGATCAACATGTCAAACTGGCGCTCTATCCTTCCCTCTTGCCACCTCTCTCTTACCTTCCCTAACCTAACCTTCCCCAGCTGTTCTCTCCTTTGCCTGTGCTTTCACTGAAGCTGCAGCTACACCACCCAGACTAGAAAGGGCTCCTGTCTGGCACCAGTAGCACTATTTTGTACACAGTGGGCTAGCACTGCTGGAAGTTTTTTAAACAGTGTTCTTTTTCTTTTTGCTAAAGAAGCACTGTTAAGCAGCCTATCAAATGGAACCTTGTCCTTTCCAAAATGGAAGTAGCCAAAAGGACTCGGGGTAAAAAGGACCTATAGGTAACGAAAGAGTTAAAGTAGGCTGGGCCAGTTCGCCTTTTCCTGCCTACCCATTCAGACAGCTCTGTCTGAGCAGGCAGTCTGTGAATGTGATAGAATCAGCCAGCACTTAACTGCTGCCATCTGAGGCAGCTGAGCTGCATTGTGGGTGGGAGGGGGACATAGTTTCAGGAATAACATCATAGGAATATATGAGAATTCAATTTGGCAGGGGGAGATGCCAGATTTCCTGGTTTGGCTCTCTGGAATTATATTCCATTCCCCCACCTTTCCACTGGTGCTGACTCGATCTGCATAGAGTCAAGTCAGTATCTGGATGTCCAGTTTTGTACATTTTGTTAGTTTAGCCTTACAATGTGCACATGTTTTTGCAGCCTTTCTATGGGGCTACAACTTATGGAATATAGGTTAGGAGAATACTTTTAAGATTGTGCTGCCATTTTGGGTGAAAATGTATTTCAGCTATGCCTAGGGAGTGTGGTGTCTCCAAACTGATGAATTCTTAGATGTGTGAGAAATTGTCATTGATGTGGGAAGATTCCATCTTTGAGTCTCAGCTACTCAGTATAGAAAATGGAAAATACATATAAATTCTTTCCCATGTATGGTGCTGCAGTAACTCAAGATCTTAATAGAATAGATAATTTTATTGATTAGTGACTTGTAATTTGTAGGTCTGCTTAGAGGTAAGTCTTACTGCATTCAGTAGGACTTACTCCCATGAAAGCATTAGAGAATATGAAACGGGTTTTTCTTTTTCTCTCCCACCCCTTCCCTTTGCCTTCGGAGTTGGAGAAGAGAACTCTGCTAGAATTGGCTTTCTCTGTGTTGTTACTTCAGATAAGTTTGTTGGCAGGTTGAATTGTTGGTAAACTTAGACCAAGTATTGGCCTTCCTTGATAGACCTCAGTCTGATTGAAGAACATGCTTGGAATCCATTGCATTTTGCTGCATAATGCTTCTCAGTCATAGTGTGAATTTATGGTTTTAAGGATTATTATTATTACATTTCTATACCATCCATAGAGCAGTTTACAACATTTAAGTCACCCATCCAAATCTCTATCAGAATACTTTCCTACCTGTTGGAAGTTCAGACCAATACCTTAGAACACACATTCCTGGCTAAATTCTTCCTGCTTAATGCTTGCTGGGTCACACTTAAAAAAAAAAAAGCATGAGAAACAAACTCTCTTGCAGTCATATTGACTCAAACTGCTGCCTGCCCTCAGCTTGCCTGAGTGTGAAATGGGTTTCTTGCTCGCACTTCCTTATATTTGCATTTTGTAGAAGCAGGCTCTTCTACAAATAACTTTTTCTGTTTTATATTCTCTAGATATATTGATGTGCTGCAGTCATTTAAAGCACAAGCCTGTTTTCCATTGGTTCTATGACCTTAATTGTCTGCAATTATGTTAGCTCAGCTTTCTTGCAGCCACTGACTTTAATTGTCTTTGCTTGTATGAAATGTGTTTATTCCTTTGCACCCTCCCCTTCTTGTGTACAATAAGTAGGGTTTGTTACAGATTGTGTTCTGTGTTGCTCTGCAGAAATTTTGGGGTGGGGAGAATAGAGTTCAACAGTGAGGTTTGTGTAACAAATTGGGTGTCCTTGGTTCAGCCTCCAGTGACCCCCTTTCCTCCTCAACAGGTAGGCCACCAGCCCCCATCTGAGGCCAGTGTAGTAGGCCTGGATGTTTCCCACCATAACCCTAAATTGTAGCTAGGGCTGAGCATAATTTGGGTTTAGACATAACAAATACAGTTAGTTTGAAATGAAAACAAGAGCTTCAGATCTTTGTCCCAGAGAAGGAAGGGAGGAGAAGTTTACAAACCTGATATGCATTCATATATCAAACAATTCTTCTCTGTCTCACGTTTACAGCTCTATGATTTTGATAATGTACATGTTATACTGCTTGCTTTCTGAAAAGTCAAGACATATTTCTAATAACAAAAAATTGTCTCAGAAAATATTTGTATAAAATATTCCTTGTTTTTGCAGATACCTCAATACGCAGTTTATTAAAAAGAACAAATTAACTGAAGCTGATCTTCAGTATGGTTATGGAGGTGTGGATATGAGTGAACCGTTGATGGAGATCGGTGAGGTAGGTATTCGCCAGAAAGACTTTCAAGGGGTAGAAATAGCATGCATGTTTTTCTTTAACTTTCAAGTAAGACAGTTCCTTCTTTTTACCAATCTATATTCATCTTATTGTCCCAATATACCAAATGTCTCTAAGTGTTCATGGGAAGACATTCAGTGTTTTATTGGCTTAGTGAACCAAGAACACTTTTGTTTACTCCTTACCCATAGAAACCTGCAGCAGTGCAGTGCGATTAGTGGATAAAGAAAGCAAGCATGTGCTTCAAGGCTTTGACAGAGGTGCTCATTTTAATGAATTGGCTGAGATGTGCAATACCCAATTGTTTAAAGTCACCTCTTCAGTTTTCAGGGTTTCTTGATATGCTTATTTTTTAAACTGATACAAGAAGGCTCACATGTGGGATCAGGTGCACTTAAATTCCATCCTCCATATCTAATTTCCTTAAGTAGAAAGCAAGGTCTCACCTCACAAACTATTTCTGTCTGTTCTAGTGTGTGAGAGCCACATCGATCCTTGGAAATAACTCAGTTTCATATTTTCTCTGAACTATGGGATAACCAAGGTTGGCTAGGAACAATATGCTGCTTACTTAACACATTAAAAGAGTGAGTTAGAGCCACATGCACTTAGTTGAACTTAGTTTTCACTGAAATCAGAGTTAAGTGTAGACTAATCTGTCTCAATTTCAGTGGAACCTATGTTCATCGCTGCTAGATCAACCCAATGGTTGCTTGTCTCAGACTGCTAATGAGGAGCCTAGATTAGAGAACCAAGCTATATAATGAAGTATTTCCCACTAAACATAGTATTTAATGAGGTTTGCAATATAGGTACATTTTAAAAAGCAGTTTCCCTAAATACCATTTAACACTCTGAAATATGTCTGGATGTGGAGCAATATAGAAATCTGAAATTATTTATGTAAGTAAATAATTATTCTTCCCTTTTGGATACTAACAGTCCTTGCGTTCTGTTTGTCTTAAAGCACTTTTTAAGAAAAGAGTATTTTCCTCCTTACAACCATCGTGAAAAGTACTGCAACATATTCCTTCCCCAGGGTTGGAATTCTGATCTTAAGAATGCAAACTAGGGGGAAGGGGACAAGGAGTGGAGGCAAGGCATGGAGGATCTGCAGAATCCTGAAGTGTCCCAACTTCACCACCTTTGCCTGTTGCTCCATTAGGTGCACTCAAAGGCATCTAGAGGAGAATCATTGGAAAGGAGGACTGAGAAGCAAAGAGCATATCTGTCATTCCTCTTACCTGCTGGCTATCTGATAACAGTGTATGGAATATTCCAGGTGCTTTCACGTTGAAACATTCCTTGGACATATGTAGGCTTGCTCTCTTGCCTTTCTATTTTGTACACTTTCAGTACCCCTATCCTACTGCAGCTCTTCCGACAGAGCAAATTTAAAATAAATGCTAACTGAATTACCTGTGGCTAAGATTTTTCTGTTTCTTTGTCATGGCAGCTTGCACTTGATATGTGGAGGAGATTAATGATTGAGCCCTTACAGGCCATCCTCATTCGAATGCTCCTCCGTGAAATCAAAAAGTGAGTACCTTCTTTGGATTTATTAATTGGTTTGTGAGGGAGTGTTTCTGTGCATATTTACTGTGCTATTCTTTCAGTTGTGTTTTGCTTAATTTTAACCAAATTGTATTTGAGGTTGTTTGCATTACATTGTGTGTTTTTAAGTTGGCAACATAAGTATGTTGGGAACAAATCCAAGGAAAACATTGTTCTTAACTGGGGAAACCAGTGCTAAAAGCAGGCAGTGTGTCCTAAGAAAAATGTTATTGGAATGCTAGAGTCAGTTCCCACTGTGCTTACTGTGGAACCTGAAACTCTGCTTCCTAGTGTTTTCAATTCTGATCTAGTACAATTGAAATTTTCCATTGCTGAGTGGATCATAATGTTCTTGAGTTTATTTTGCATTAGGCATTATAGAGTATTGTATAAATGGGAAAGGAAATATGGATGTTAGATCTAGATTTTTTTCTGAAATTCTGAATGTATTACAGAACTGATCAGCAGTACAAGCTTCAGCCACTTCTGTCAGTCAGCCTTGTTCCAGGGTAAGGCGTTGATTGCCAGCAATGTAAAACCTTGCATATTTTGTACCTCGTTAGCAAAGACATAGGACAGCCAGTCTGGGCAACCTGATATATCAGAGGACACACTGATGCTCCTATGTTGTTCTGCTGAGATGCTGCCGGCAAGTGGCATGGAATTTAACTTGTGGGACCTCTGTTTGATATGTCAAGAGCGGCCCCTTAAATCCTATTGATTCTATGAGACTTGACATACTTAACTGTAACCTAAGTTATAGCCAGACCCATTTACAAAATAAAGGTACTTTGACAGTTCCTATATCTCTAGCAGCAGATATCAGGCGCATAACTTGGATTAATTTACCATGCTTTGAAATTGTTTTTTAATTCATACATACTAAAGATCCTCTGCTTATGTCAATTATCTACTTGTATTGGAAGAAGATACCATTGTAGAATGTGAATTCTGTTGTCATGCGTTATTTATGACAATGTAAAGAAATAATAAAGCCCAAAGACCTTGTCACCCTTTTCAAGTTAATTTTAAGAATAAAGAGAAAAAGCAAGAAATCCAAAGCTTGTCCATTCACAGGGAAGTTGGGATAATTCTTGGAAACAAAGGTAGAATTATCAGTCTAGTAATACCAGTCACCACGATCCAGAGCAATTCATGGTTAATTTTGTTTACCTTGTTTGGGCTGGCTCAAGCCGCTCCATGCCATGCGTCACACTACTGAAATCTGAAGAAACTTTTGAAAGCAGATTGTGATGACAATGGAGTCTGCTGTTGAAATATTTCCCTGCCTATGCTCAAGCCCTTGTTTATGAATTGCATTAAAAGCTAGTATTTAATGTATGGAAGAAATAGTGTGGGTTCTGTTCTTCAAAGACATATCCTGCCATTTTTAACCTGCATTTTTGCTTTTTTTTTTTTTTTTTGTTCCTTTTCATGTAAAGCTGTTCTTTTCTGCTTACTGTTACTTGTTGGATGGGATCCTCGGGGTGGGGGGGGGCTTTACCCATCCAACTACTTGATGTGGATGCATGTACTTTAGTTTTCTCTGTTGCAAGCAGAAAGACTTGAGTCTTACTCAGATTTTGTGTGTCTTGACACAAACTATTGCAAATGGAGATGAAGAAAAGATAAGCCACCTAGGAAGGCCTCAGCAGTTATAGGTGGCCTATACATACAGGTATAGATAAAATAAATAACAAGCTTTAAAGATTGTAGACACTACACAGAAACAAATCAAGGAAACGGAAAAGTACTGATTTCACTTCCTGTGGCTGGGCTGGCCAGGTTTTTCTTAGAAAAAACAAGATAGATTTTTTTGTTAGATATGTTGTGAAAGCCAGCAAATAATTTGATGGAATAAATACCTTGGCAGAGCTATCTCTCCATCTCCTAAAATGATTGTGGCAAACTTTAAAGCTGCAAAGAGTTGAGAACTACTGATAGTTGTAATTTCATCAGAATTGAGGCTTCTATTCTGTGGTGGTGATACCTCTTTGTGAGAACTCCACAGATATGCAAGATTGGTGTCATGCAAGTTTTTTGTTTGATGTATCTGGCTACTGCACCCACCAAGAGGACAGCCAATCATGAGTAAGAGCCCTGGCCTTCCATTTGGATCTAAAGCCTGTTGTTCCTTAATTATAACTTTGTGTGCTGTAATCATGTAAGGAGTAACACAGAG